AGGAAGGAAGGAAGGAAGGAAGGAAGGAAGGAAGGAAGGAAGGAAGGAAGGAAGGAAAGAAAGAAGGAAGGAGGGGGGAGGAAGGAAGGAGATTATAATGAGAGGGGGGTTCTGCCCAGGGGTGGGTTTCAGCTGGTATGCACCAGTACGGGTGTACCAGTTGGTGAAATTTAGCGTGCCTTCCTGTACCTGATCTTCCGGAGGCTCCGTATTGGAATGCTCCCTCCCCTGGCCTGCCCCTCCCTGCTTGCTCACCCCACCTGCCCAGTCACTGCTCGCTCGTTCGCCCCACCCGTACAAAGCATGCTTGTCCCACCCATCCACTTCTTTTGCCCGCCCAGCTGAGGCTCTGAGGCTGCAGGCAGCCAGGGAGGTGGGGGGGAATGCTGCCCTTCTGCCTGCCCCCTCCAGAAGCAACCGGGCAGGCCCTGGCATGGTCAGAATCCCACGCACCACTGCCATGTGACCTCTCTGGGGGCGCAGCACCTGCCTGGATGCGGCTGCAGCCAGCAACAGGACGCCAACATGACTGGAGGAGGAATTCTGGGAGTTGAAGTCCACAAGTCTTAAAGCTGCCAAGTTTGAACACCACTGGTTTTTTTTTTAAGGGTTAGGGGTGCAAAGGTCTTGTAACTTGACAGCTTTAAGACTTGCATGCTTCAAATGCCAGAGTTCCTGAACTAACATTTTGGTTGCTAAGCAAGAGCATTGTTAAATGAGTTTCACCACATTTCACAAATTGGCCATGCCCACCCGGTCACATGGCTGGCAAGCCCACCAGTCACATGACCACTGAGTCACTCTCAAAAAACAGGCCACACCTACAGAATAGGTTCTAAAAATTTTTGAAACCCACCACTGGTCCTGCCTTAGCACTTGGCCACCAGCAGCCCTGCTGTACTTTCGCCATCTCCTTGTCTCCTCCTCCTGACCTCTCCTGATGGTCTTCCATCCTATCACTGAGGATGCTTTTGTTACAAAGCCAGATCTCCTTGCGTGGGGAGGGAGTGGGCCTCCCTTTGATCCACACACTTTGCCCTCCTGCATACACCATGAGCAACCTAGCCAAGGAGAGTGAGCACAGCAGCAGCAGCTGCCTTGAGGAGGACGTAAGCACAGCCAGACACCCCCTTGGGGAAACGGGGCTGGGTTGGGCTGTGGGGTCCCAGTGCCCTGGGAGCTTGCTCTCCACTGACTAGTGCTCTGGAGAGTCTATGCTACTATCCAGGCTTCCTCCATGTGGCCTGAGAGGGATGACAAGGCTCCTCTAGAGGACAAGGCTTTGGCCCTGTCCCTGATCTCGCCTTCCTCCGCTGGAGACAAGGGATTGCCCCAGCCCCACCTAGGCCACCACAGGCACCTCTGACATGAGTGACATTGAGCTGGCCATGCTCCCCCCATTCGAGGTCAAAATTCTGAATTTTGCCTAATGCAATATTTACCCTGAAGGAGCAAGCACTTGTATTAAAACATAGATAATTGCTTGTATGACTTGTTATGCCAGTATCTGACTTGCTGAGTAAACATTACATATAAAATTAGTAAGGGAATACTCCCCTCTGGTTGAGGTCATTAATCACATTCTCCAACAGGACATTATGGCAGGGTTCTGGACATTCGCATTCACATCCCAGTACAGAAATATGAGACTTTTACTCTGGCCAAAAGTATGCATGCCATTCCCCCCCCCCTCCTTAAGTTGATAGTAGTCATGGAAACACTTTAGACCTTGACATCCGGCTTCCCTCACTTCCTGAAATCGACCTGTGTAAAACAAAGCAGTTTGAGTACAGGTGTATAATTTAGGGATGTGTCCCTCCCCCAGGCTTGCTTGGATTTTCTGCNTTGATCAAATTTTAGTCTGTTCGCATTCCTGGCTTGAAATATAAAATTCCAAACCAACAATTTGGCCCTTGCATGTTCCATAACATGCCACTATTTCTGTGGCTGGACGAAAATACTCTTTTACCTTCTCTTCCTGAAGGTGTTTTCCCTTTACCAGAAATACCTTGAAGGCACCTTTCTAGTCTTGTTTCTTGGGCAGGAAGCAACGCTCAAGTTTTACTAGAACTTTAACCTCAAAGTTATGGAACATTGTTGACTGTGGATTCTATTTTGCCGGTGTACAAAAGCACCGCCTAATAATAGAAATTTTTCCATTTATCACAAACTCAAATCAAACTCTGAGAGCACCACAATTAAGATTCATCGGGTTATAACAAGTATTTCTTAAAGTTAAAAAAAAAACTACCCTACACACCTCTTGTAGAAGGTATGTTGCGTATGTGTACAGTATGAGATATAACCTACGATAGGACAAGCCAGAAAGAGGAAACAAAGGAATTGGAACTATGTTCTCCCAATGAGAATAAGTTATGCGTTTCCTCATGCAGCAAAAATTTATATCTCAAGAACAATGGGCTGGTTGCACTTCTGAAGCGATCCCTCCGGTAAGCAACTACTATTAACATGCTACAACTCTCCGTCCCCGTGTATCCTGCAGCAGTGCCGAAAGACAAGCCTCTGTATTTCTTTTCACAATAGTACAGCAACATTTAAATATTTATTTATCACCTCAAATATCTGAGAACATTTGTCACTAGCAGGAGCAGCAAAAGAGCTTCAAGTGGAGGCTGCAATATAGAATGCCCCACTATGTTTTAAGAGGTTCAATTTTTATCTCTTGTGACCTGAACAGGGGATGAACTATTTTAATTACACCCCATGCAATCAGTTTTACAACCATACAATGAATAAATACTGTTAAGAAGTTTAGTACTACTGTACTCCTTACTATATTCCCTACTATTTTTATATTTTTTTTATGGCACTGTTTATGTCCACACTCATGTCTATGTACAGACAAGTACACACTCCCACGTTCCTGTAATTTAGTAGAACGCTTTATGAACCTGGACTCTGTTCTTCAAATATTTATGCCATTTATAAATGTTAATCTTTGTGGTATCCGAGAGTTTTAATTTCAACCCATTCAAGGTTTTGGCCTTGAATTATTCTGATAGATACCACAATCAGATCTTTGGAAAGTTTGTATACATCTATTACACAACCAAGACAACATAAATATAAATATAATCTGTATACAGTATATATTTTATTCATCATCTGAATGATGGATTTTTTTAAAAAAATCATTCATATCCCAGCTTTTTAAGCGTTTTAGCCNTCTTAAAGCAGGCTGGCTGGGGGATTCTGGGAGTTTAAGTCCACTCATCTTAAAGCAGGCTGGCTGGGGAATTCTGGGAGTGGAAGTCCACTCATCTTAAAGCATGCTGGCTGGGGAATTCTGGGAGTTTTAGTCCACTCATCTTAAAGCAGGCTGGCTGGGGGATTCTGGGAGTAGAAGTCCATCCATCTTAAAGCAGGCTGGCTGGGGGATTCTGGAAGTCCTCCCCTCTTAAAGCATGCTGGCTGGGGAATTCTGGGAGTGGAAGTCCATTTGTCTTAAAGCAGGCTGGCTGGGGAATTCTGGGAGTGGAAGTCCACTCATCTTAAAGCATGCTGGCTGGGGAATTCTGGGAGTTTTAGTCCACTCATCTTAAAGCAGGCTGGCTGGGGAATTCTGGGAGTGGAAGTCCACTCATCTTAAAGCATGCTGGCTGGGGAATTCTGGGAGTTTTAGTCCACTCATCTTAAAGCAGGCTGGCTGGGGAATTCTGGGAGTGGAAGTCCATCTGTCTTAAACCATGCTGGCTAGCGAATTCTGGGAGTTTTAGTCCACTCATCTTAAAGCATTGTCTAAATATTGCAATGTAGACCTTTTCCAGTTTTCAGTGGTAGCATGGAGATTTTAAACAGACTTTGTGTACTTCCCATATGTCTCGCAGCCTTTTGGAATAGTGATTCTCCTGTTTTCTTCTTCTGTTTCCTGTTTCCGACCCCAAAGGGAGAACACCAACAATCCTTAGCCAAAATGCTTGTCAATCGAGCCCTGGGCCGGTGGAGGCAGCGTATGCTTCGTGCCGATAACACTAGCGCCATCGTCATCAGTATATGTCCCGGCCGAAAATCTCGGAGCGGCTGTCTGCAAAACGAGGAGGATCTGTGCTTCAACTTGGCTGAAGGACCCTCGTACAGCAGCCCTGAAACCTGGACGATCGCCTCTTCGCAATGCTCAACTCCGTCATCCAAGGTAAAACGAGATATTTTTTTTCTTTCATGGCTCAAGGCCTGAGAGTATCAGGTTTCTGGAAGACACCTTCATCAATTCATGAGTCTCGAGCCAAGTTTCAAAAGAAAACCAGTCATTTATTAGGAGCACCATTTTGGCCAGACCTTGTTGCAGTCAGATCTGAGTCTCGTTTGAATTATAGCTGAACTTTACCCCTGTTCCTTCCCTCCCCTCAGTCTGTGTCGTAAATCACATTCCCCAATGAGGTGCACCCCTCCAAAGCCTGCTGCAGTAATCTGAGATCCGACTCTAGCTGAAAGTATTCATGGAATGCGCTCCCCCACCTCTCCTTTCCTTAGAATGGCAACTTTAGGAGTTGACAAGAGAGCTTTTAAGATGATATTAAAAATGGGCATTTCCCCCCCAGGTTTTATGGATTTAAGTGCATTTTGAAATATAAAAAAAACCTCCCCCAGTTCTATGTACAACTATTCTTCTTCTTGTGCCATATCTGTCATCGGCCATTGGCGATCATGTTGCCGATCCTATTTTTATCAACAGCCGCATGAAAAAGTCCTGGTCCCTCAAATTTTGAAGCTATGTTGTTGTTCTTCTGCCTGGACCTCACTTGCCTTCAATCTTTCCCTGGAGGATTAAGTGACAGATGCCCTATTTTTCCGGGTGTCGTATCACAAGTGCGAAATATTCTTAAACTTCGTTTTTTTGATGGTTTCGATTGATTTCACTTGACTTCCCCAGGCGGGGTATCACTTCCTCATTTCTGATTTTGTTAAACCCAGCTTATATGTATCAGCTGCCTGTAAAAACCACATTTCAAATGATTCTAGTGTCTTCAGATGGCTTTCAGCCAGAGACCAAATCTCTACTCCAGGGGTGTCAAATTAAAAGGCCCTAATTAAACCATGTGTCTCGAGCCAAGCGTTAAAAGAAATCCAGTTCTTTATTAGGAGCAACATGCCGGCACGTACCCAAGTGAAGGCAGCTGTGACCCCATGTAATTTTTCGACCCAACTATGACCCTGTTTCCCCCCGTCCCCCCAGGGTGTGTCATAAATCACATTCTCCAATGGAGCACTTTCCTCGGCTGTAGAGATCATGCCCCTCTGGCTGCTGCGGGTAACCTTGGAGACAGCCTTGAGAAAGTTATACGTGGAATGTGCTTCTGTTTGTGGTCGTGCTACATCGTCAGGTCCCCATCCCCCTTGCCAATGGCAACTCGAGAGCAGGCCAGGGATGCTTTGTGAGTTGACAGCGGGTTGATTAAATCCGGCCCACGGGGCCGGGCTGGAAATATTAAAAGACTGGCCTGCAGTGCTTATGCCAGCCAAAACGGGCCATGTATGGGGACCCCGCACCTTGCTTTGGATTATAGGTACCGTATTTTTCGGAGTATAAGACACACCTTCCCTGCCCAAAAGCGGGTGAAAATCTGGGTGCATCTTATACAGCATTTTTGGCCTCCCAAAATCCCGCCCCCTTGGCAAAAATGGAGGTGCAGAGGGTTTGGGAGGCTTGCAAAGTGAACTTGGGGGCTGGGGAGGGCAAAAAAGAGCAAAACACGAGCTGTTTTTCCCCCTGAAGCCCACAGGAGCACTCTACAAGCCTCCCAAACCCTCTGCATGCCTTTTCCTTTTTTTGGCAAAAAACGGCGTATTTTTGCGATAAATGGGCTGTTTCACTGCTCGTTTTTGCCCCGCCCAGTCCCTAGGAGCACTCTACAAGTCTCCCAATCTCTGCATGCCCCCCTCCTTTTTTGTGTGTGCAAAGGGTTTGGGAGGCCTGTAGAGTGCAAAATTTTTTTTTTAAAAAAATTGCCTCTTCAAAATCATGGTGTATCTTATACTCCGGTGCGTCTTATAGACTGAAAAATACGGTAGTTGTTGACCTACATGACCAGTTGGGACCAGAAGTTCTGTTGCTGAGACAGGCAGTTGTTAAGTGAATTGCGCCTGATTTGATGATGTTTTTTTTTGCCATGGTCGTTAAGCGGACCTTTGCAGTTGTGAAATGAATCGTGCATGGGGGAGGGGTTTAAGCTAATCCGGCTTCCCCCATTGATTTGGCTTGTCAGAAGCCGGCTTGGGAAGGAGGCAGATGTGGATCGTGTAACTCCTCCGGGAAGCTGCAACCTTTGTTAACATGCGCCAAGTGTCTTAATTTCGACCACGGGACCATGGGGATGTTGCAACGGCTATAAGTGCGAGGACGGGTTGCCCATCACTTTTTTAAAGTCCCTTTGTAAGTTTGAATGCTAAAAAAATGGCTCAAGTGGAGGAATTGGGTATGAAAAGAAGGACTAGGGGAGACATGATAGCAGTCTTCCAATATCTCAGGGGTTGCCACAAAGAAGAGGAAATCAAGCTATTCTCCAAGGCACCTGAGGGTAGAACAAGAAGCAATGGGTGGAAACTAATCAAGGAGAGAAGCAACTTAGAATTAAGGAGAAACTTCCTGACAGTGAGAACAATTAATCAGTGGAACAGAAGTTGCCTCCAGAAGTTGTAAATGCTCCATTCAACACTGGAAGTCTTTTAAAGAAGATGCTGGATAGCCATTTGTCTGAAACGGTATAA